GAGTTTGATTTCGGATGCCTTAACAGGAAAACAAGATTTTCAGCAGGCTGCCAAGTTTTCAACTGGCTGCCGAAATCTTGTGTTTCAGTTAGCTTCCTTTTCAATGAATACCAGTTAACTCTTTTTCGTACCTTTTCTTTTTTATTCTTTTCTTTTTGTTTTATGGTACGTTTCTTCTCTTTTTTAGACTCTTTGCTTCCATCTTTTGAGTACTTTATCACTAATATAGGAGCACATTACAATAAACAAAATGGAACAAGTACAATATAATCTAGTCTAATACAGGAATAAATAAAAGGGGTGGCATCATCAAAAAAATACATACTCCCTCCTACCCACAATTAAGTTCCCACTTTCCTTTTTGGGCAGTCCCTAAATTAAGTTCACACTTCATTACTTTCCTTATTTGGCAAATTATCTACATCAAAACAGTGTCAAACAGTGTCCAAACAGTGTCAAACAGTGTTTAAACAGTGCAAAGCAGTGCCAAACAGTGTCAAACAGTGTTTAAACAGTGCACTCCACAATAAACCCAAATTTATTTTCTTAATATGTTTGAAGTCAAATCAGGAACTTAATTGGGAGTATTAATCATCAAAATCTAGGGGACCTAACAATTTCCCCCTTTCTGATGATGCCAAAAACTAGAATCAAAACAGCCTAGAAAAAGCAAAACATCGTTTAAAGTACAAGGTTGTTTGATTTTATCCCCCCCCCCCCCCGAAGAAACAAACACCTATCAAGGTGCTTTTCTGCTTGATGACTCTCCTGGGAGTATGTTCCTGACTGTTCATCTCCTTCTTTGCTCGTCTGCATGCTTCAGCTTTTGGAGTTTGGCATGGTAAGTTCTGTTGATGTAGCCTAGTGTGACAGCTGCCTCAACGTGTTTCGTTTTAAGCCATCCAAGAGCAAACTCTTTTTCCTGTATCATCTTAGATGCATTAAGAAGAAGATGATTGATTGGAGACATTCTCCATGTTCTCCAAGCTAGCATTCTTTCTCGTTCCTGCAGCAGAGTTGCCTTTTCCTTTTTGAAAATGATAAATGATTCAAGTGCAGAAAGGCTGTTCTCTTGAGTCGAAGGTGGAGTCAGTTGAAGTTCAAGAGAGATGTGGTTTGATGAGAGTGAGGATCATTCTATTTGATGAAGGTGATGACGAGTTCTTTTGAAGAAAGTTGGGAGAAGGTTTGAGAGATGAAAGCTTAAGTGAAAAAGTGTGCTGAGGTAAACTCTTCTGAGTTGAAGGGTGGATTTATACCTCTACTTGTGGTGACCTTAAAAATAGTTATCATTGGTGGGTAATTCAAAGGCTGCAACGTAATAAATGGTTGGCGGCTTGGCTCCTTTTCCGATTCAGAGGGAAATCTAATTTCGATAAGTGAGAAAACATTGGTTGGATAAACTCACTTAGATAATTAAATGTGCTTTCCCAATTGTCTAAGTTAGCTGGCCGATCATAATTATGTCGAGCATGTTGCATTTAACCACACATTCCTTGTATCACTTTTAATTCTTTCTGACTACTTTTTGTAACACCTTTGATGAATGTCAGCATGCATTTGATATAATCAAGACATATTCTTTCTGCATGGCTGAATTCTAACAAGTACTCCATATTTATTTTCATGAAACTCTTGATTATCTTTGATCTGTAATGTTTGAGCAATATCTGTGATAACTATTGAACTTGATATCCAAAGATATTCAGATAGCTCGATCTTTGAGACTTTTCCTGTTCTTTGAAACATATGAAATGTTCCAACTTGAATAAAACTAGGAGTTGGCTTGTTGGTGTTATTTCGGCAGGCAACTGATTTTTTGGAAATGAAAGTTGGCTGAAATTTTCAGCTTGCTTCTTTCTCCTGCTGAAATCATCCTTCATTCCTTCTTTCTAGAGCTTCTGGAACTTTGTAGCATGAATTCTTGATTCAATTAATCTTCCTTTTGAACGGTCTCCTTCTATTATCCAGAATGTTGACCAATCTCTACCATAATGATCTGATTTTATTGAACAAATCCCACCTGATCCTCAGAGTTAGTCAAGTCATCTGATTTCTGGACTTTGTCAATTGGAATAGATTAGTTGCACCTGAAACCTAGAAACTCTTGAAAGATTTTGTGCTTTTAGCAAACCATTCTTTGAAGCTCAGAATTTTGGTTGTTAGTTTGCTAAAGCATTCTTCCATAATCATCCTTCAATATGAAGAATCATCAATCTTTAATTTTGATTGTATCCATTTGATCTTTAATCTAGAGTATAAGTGTAGGCTATGCTCGTTAATAGATTTGTGTAAATAATGATAATCGTAATGAAATTTATAAAATCGCACTAAAGATCTTTAAATTTTAAATTACATAAAGTTTATTTCTATAATTTGTAAGTGTTCGATAGGCTCAAATTGGCTGATTAGTGCTCTATAGTAAGGGCTGACTAGGCCGATTAATCGGTTCGACTACGCTGATTTTTAGAACAACGAGCCCATCTAATAAGAACAGTGCTTGCATGAGAGTAGTTTTAGAATGAGGAGGAACTAAAAAGTTTTCCACGAGCTAGGACAAAGTGTGTTGTAAATAAATGTGTTAATTTGTGAAGTCAATACTAAGTTTGAAGAACATTCATATCTCAGACCTTACAATGTTGGGATGTCACGGTCCAAATGTGCGTGACAATAGAGGTTGTGTAGGATACAAACAAGTGTTTGATATGGAGGTGAGAAGTTTCTGACGTGATTGGTTTTGAAATTTATGTGAGTTAACTTGAAGAATTTGTGGGACAAGTGTTGCTTAAAAACATGGAAAAACGAAGTTTTTTTCCCAACGGAGAGTATTTTTCAAACTTATTTCTCCAACAAGAGTACTTCTAAACTGATTTCCCAAATCATGTTATTTTTTGCCATGTCATCTCACTATCATTGCGGTCGCCATATCAACTTATCCACATCATCTCATCATGTAGAAATTTTAGTCCATGGAATGCATGTCAATTCTTATGAGATAATGCAATAGAAATAATGAACTCCACTTTACCTATTTCATATAGTATGTATTACTATCTCCCTCCCAGTTTAAACTTTTTGTTGAAAATAGGATAATTATTTAGTCAATAATTAAATAAGGCAATTCAATTGTATATTCGAAAGTAATAACATAATGGGATCATTGATGATAACTTGATGTTATAAGTGTATTGTTTTAAAATTTGATAATTAATTTGTCATTTTAAGGTTCTATTTTTTTTTGGAAAACGATAAGTCGGCTCATATTAAAAATGATATTCATATAATCATATAGAAGCTACACTAGGATGTGACACAAAGTTGGACGATTGTTAGTAGCTAATCAACTCGCTAATCCCTCAATATGGTAGACTCCACCAATAGCCCAGTTGCACTTGCTACTAGATTGAGAAATAAAAGTAACTAGAATTTTCTGAGAAAAAAGACAATAAAAAAATAAAAAGCCCCAATTTTTCCATCCACCGAAAAGGAAATCGTGTGAAACTAAATAGTGAAACCACAACACAAAGCAACTGCCAAATTAACTAAACTATGAAACAAAGAAAACACGAATACCCTCTTCACAGAATCAACAACCAAAGTCCAAAACCGATACAGACCTTTAACCGCAAACTGCTATGTAGCACGAAAACTCTCGGGGAAGTGTACGTTTCCTGTTTCGGAAACTCCAGGAAATCCTTTGGAAACTCTCCAAATAAGCCTTTTTTTTTTATCAAAAGTTGACGTTTCCCGTTTCCCGTTTCCTCACGATTTTCGCGTTTCTGTGCTACATAGCCGCAAAGCACAAAACTCACGGCCAAAACAGAGAAAAACCACCCCTCGTCCTGATTGCAACGTCACTCATGGTTGCTGCCGCTAGGGTTCGTTCATCACTTCTTAGTGCTAATTCTTTCTTAAAATATAAATGAGAATCTTTAGCTGAAACATTGAAGAAAGACAATTGAGAAGTTTAAGTGGGAACAGAGAGAGTACTCGTTAGAAATTACAGAGTAATACCAGTATACATTTCTGTCGTCTTTCTTAAATTGTTTACTCCGTATTTGTTATGAAAAATTAGAAGAATTGTGCTTTTTGGCTAATATTTAAAATGAAAGAGTACTTATTGTGCAAATATTTTACAATGTGCATCTTTACACTATTTAATATTGAATATTTTTAACACTCAAATGATGCATCTTATAATATACTCCTTTCGTCCTTTAAAATTTGGCCAAATTTAACTAGAACCACAAATTTTGAAAAATGTGTGGTTGAGATTTGAAAAGAGGAGAGATAATTGACTACAACCACAAATTTAACTTAAAAGGGAAAGCGAAAAAGTTTTTTTGGAAGGAAGGAAAGTGTCAAAGTTTGTATGACAAATAAAATAGAAAGTTGACAAGGTATTAAGGGACGAATGATAATAATTAAGCAATTGCGTTTTAACGTTGAAAATACTGCATTCAAAAAATGTTACTCCCTTTGTCCCTTTAAACTTTGTCAACTTTCATTTTTTGTATATTCCACTAATTATGTCATTTTCCGTTTTAAGTTATGAAATTGTGGTTTCAATTAATTCTCTCGGAAATTTCAAACACCCGATTTTGACTTCATAGATCCCCTATCGATCAAACTTGACAATATCTTAAGGAAGAATTAATTTCATCCAATAACCAAAAGGAAAATTCTTAGTGTACACAAGTTGTACACAAATTGTACACAAAACCCTTCTAGTTGTCTGTGTACACAGACAATTCGTTTAAAAAGGGGCAGGACTTGATGTCAAATTGTCTGTGTACACAGACAATGTACACATTTTGTATACATCTTGTGTACACCAAGAGTGGTCCTAACCAAAATGTGTTTATAAATGGTAAGATGAGTTTGTATCTGTGTGGGCTAACAATAGGTATCTTCTCCGGCCCTTGTAATTATGATTACAGATACACACTCCGTACTGTAGCAGTGTAGAAGAAAGATGGCCGGTTTAGCTTTTTCGCTCTTTAACTTTATAGCCCCCACCCATCTCTTTCACACTCAACCCCACCCACCTCAATATATTTCTCCCTCTCTCTCTGTACGTCTCTTTAGTCCGCCCTCTTAGAGAAAAAGTTGCAGAGAGTATTGATCTTGAGTATGACAGCAGATATCAGGTAATTCAAGTAAAAATCACACACATCATCCATCCATCTCTCTCTGTTCATACTCTAAGTAACAAAATAGGCATATATCTTTATAGAAAGAACATGTGGTACGTCCTCTCTCTGGGAGCAGAGCATATATGTGTTTCTCCCTTCCTGATTCCTCTGCTTTTTATTGTTTAATGTTTGACTCTCATCTTTCTCTCTCCCGTGTGTTGTTTCTTTCTGGGATTCGTGATGGGTCTAACAAAAATTCTCTTTTCCTTGAATTCCCGTCAGATGATGTGTGATTGAACACGTGCGCCATCTCCGATCATCTGATTTATTCGCATCTCACCTTTCTGCAGCATCAACTCAGTTAGCTAGGTACTATATACATAGTATATGTATATGTGTGTGTATATATATGATGTCATCCATCTTTAAACACCACATGTTTGTATCAAACAATCTTAGTATTTATTCTCTGTTTAAGATTAACTCATGAATAAATTACAGAGTTTAAGGTTGACCAGGTCTATTTGGTGTTGTGGGTTTCAGTGAGGATTAACAGAAACAGGGGATGGCAGGGTCCTACTTTCATGGGAGCTCGGGAATCGGAGGAGGTGGTGATGGGTTGCAAACCCTCATACTTATGAACCCGGCGGGAAGTGGGTACGTTGGATTTTCTGACACCACTCATCACACGGCGGCGCCGGCGCCGGGCGCCAATAATTTCGCCCTTCTACAGTCCATGTCCAGTGTTACTCTGCCACACGCGCCGCCGCAGTCCCATTCGCAACAGTTTGTGGGCGTCCCCTTTCCCACCGCAGCCGCGTCCCAGCAGGATATCACCGCCATCCACGAGCTCTTCCGCAATAATTACAGCGACGTGTACGGATCGCCGGTGGGAATGGGTACCGCGCGTGAATTTTCACGCGCCCAGCAGGGTCTGTCTTTGACTCTCGCCTCTTCTCAGCATGGGAAATTCAGGGCGGAGAGTGAGGCGGGGTCACAGCAGATTTTGGCTTCGCCGGCGTCCGGGGATGATCAGGTAAGGGCGGGCGGCGGCGGATCGTGCTCCCCTGCTTCTGGGATTTCCAACTGTTTGAACAGCAGGCCTTTGGATTCCAGGTATTTGAAGGCAGCACAAGAGCTCCTTGACGAGGTCGTTAATGTCGGCAGGGCAGTGGTAAAAAACGGAGCACAGCCAGGTCAAGGGGGTAATTGTCGTATTGCCAGAGATCCCGGCGGCGTCGAGGCAGCCGGCGTGGGAGAAGTCGATGTTCAGAACAAAACTGAGCTCACCACGGCAGAGAGGCAAGAATTCCAATTAAGGAAAGCAAAGCTTTTGAACATGCTTGATGAGGTAGTACATTTAGTTTGGTCAAATTATATCAAACATTTGAATATAATTGTAATTGACTAATTGTACTTTTATTAAGTAGTCTTTGGTAGTTAGGATGTTTTTACTTGGAGTGTAATCTGTCCAGACCAGACCGGACTAGAAAAAATCAGATTTGGATAATTATAAAAAGATATATTACCCGAAATAGGATTAAAAAGGTTTAAAAATTCTAAAATAGGACTGTCATGTTTTTATTCCCAAAATAGGACTACTTACTGTCATGTTTTAGCAGTATCAGACTTCAAACATGGCAGTATTTTCCAAACATTGCAGTAATTACTCCTATTTTGGGAATAAAAAACTTGACAGTCCTATTTTGGAATTTTCAAACTGTTTTAGTCCTATTTCGAGAATTTTCCCGTATACAAAGAGACCAAACATTATTAAACCAGACCAGCAAATTACAGTCCAAGTAAAAATATCCTTATTAAGTACTCCGTAATTGATAACTGCCATGTAGGAGGTCACATGTTTGAATTCAATCTCAGTTCAATAACGTGGACCTTAACATAAAATAGATACTATAATAGATTCGGAAGCTTTGCCAAAAAAATTACTGATAATTGAAATAATGGCACTAAATATGGCTAATACAAAGATGGTGAAAAAATATAAATTTTACTCCGAATGGTAATATCCAATTTTAGATGTTATACTCTAATAACTTTACTTTTTTGTTTATAAACTTCATGGTATATCAGCAATATTACAACATAATAATACAACATAATAATTTCATGGTTTTTCATCAAAATTAAAAATTTCTTCATCGAATACAATGAGCCCGTTTGGTAGCACGAAAATCGGCTGTTTTGGCTGTCTCTGCTGAAATTTATGAAGTTCTGGCTGAAGTGGCTGTTTTGGCTGATTCTGCTGATTCTAGAAAAAAATATTTTAAAAATATATTTTATTAATAAAATAAAGAAAAAATTACATGTAAAATAGCTAAAATGGTCATCTACAGTAACTTCAGCCAATACAGCCAGAAAAGTAACTCCAACCTTACTTTTTCTGCTTATTACACAATTCAGCACGCGAAAGTAAAAATTACGTGTTTGGTGAAAAAGCTGACTGATAAGCCTGATAAGCCGAAAAAAGGGGTCTCCAAACGGGCTCAATATCTTGCCATGACCTATTTGAATTTTTATAATCTCCCTTTGTTTTATTTGAGATTTTGAGTATGATACTACTTACGTCTCTGCCGTGTTTAAAATGGCAAACCTCTTTATTTATTCATTGAATGTGGAATTAAATCCCTTAACAAATGGCAAACCTCTGTATTTAATTGATATAAGATGATTTTAAAATAGGGTGGACCCAAACCTCTTTATTTATTCATTGAATGTGGAATTAAATCCATTAACAAATATGACCACATTTTTTAGGTGGAGCAAAGGTATAGGCAATACTACCAAGAGATGCACATGGTAATATCATGGTTTGAGCAAGCAGCAGGAATTGGTTCAGCAAAAACATACACATCACTGGCTTTGCAGACAATCTCGAAGCAATTCAGGTGCCTCAAAGACGCAATTTTGAGCCAAATTCGAGCAGCAAGCAAGATTTTAGGTGAAGAAGGTGTTGGCGTAAAGAATGAGGGCTCATCAAGACTCAAATATGTCGATAATCAGCTCCGTCAACAGAGAGCTTTGCAGCAAATGGGAATGATCCACCAGAACGCTTGGAGACCCCAGAGAGGTTTGCCTGAGCGTTCTGTTTCCGTCCTTCGTGCTTGGCTCTTTGAACATTTCCTCCATCCGTAAGTTCTTAAACAAAATTTGGAAGATTAGATTTATGGGTTTCTGTGAAAATATGATCGAGAAACCAGTGGAGTCTGCAGGGTGCAAATTGGTCTGGATTAGTACAAAGTTTTTTTTTCGGAAACTTTTCACATAAAGTTTTACATGGAGTGATATTTAAATAGTTTTTTCTAAATTTGGGGTGGACCGGAGCTTAGGACGGTCCTATCTCCACTCATGCGAGAAAGGTGATAGAGACATGTGCTACAGACAGTGTCACTGGCAATGAGGGTGTCATATATTGGGGATCATGGTCACTGGCTTTGAGATATTAATAGTTATTCCATTCCGTACATGTTTAGTCTCTATTGTTTAAGAATATTTAAAAAGTAATCACATTTTGTCAATTAGTCTTATTTTAGTATGATCATAGGAAAAACCTTAATTTATATGGCTCCAAGAGGAAAGTTTTGTGGATTATTTAGGGAGTAGCAGACTAATATTTCAGATTATTGATCAGACATTGGGTGATCTTATGATCCTCATCTAATTAGGAATTCTATCAGTTACCATTCTCACTTGTATATGTTGCAATCTTAAACCAGTTATCCCAAGGATTCTGACAAAAGCATGCTAGCTAAACAAACCGGCCTTACTAGGAGTCAGGTAAAGGAATTACATATATGCTAGATTGTATTTTTATTATATGTTTTTGATTTGGAATCAATCTTTCTAACACTTCAACCTGCTCTGATGAACTCAGGTGTCGAATTGGTTCATCAATGCTCGAGTTCGGCTGTGGAAACCAATGGTGGAAGAGATGTACTTGGAAGAGATCAAGGAGAAAGAGAAGAACGGAGAAGGTGAGAATGAAGAAGCAGATATAGATCAAGATTCAGCATCTCTCCAAGAGAAGAGTCCTTGTTCCGAACACGCCAACCCGACATGTACAAACCACACAATGTCAATGACCAATGGTGCATCAATCTCTCAGGGAAGTCCAAAGAAACCGAGGAACTCAGAAATGCTGCACACTCTGGTGAGTAGTATTCCATCCCTCGGCATGAAATTTGTGAACGATGAGGGGCATAATAGAGAAGACTACACATCTATGGAGGGATCGACAAACTTCATGGCAGCGTTTGGGTCATACCCAATGGACCAAATGGGGAGGTTCAATGCTGAGCAGTTCCCTTCACCATATTCCGGGAACGCAGTCTCCCTAACCCTCGGTCTTCAACACCCGGAAAACCATCGTAGTTTTCTCCCCAACCATGGAGTTGTGATGGGTGAAGGAAATGATTTTGGCGGGATGGCTACTCCTACGTCTCACCAAACAAATGTGTTTGAGAACTTCAACAACATCCAGAACCGCAAGAGATTCCCGGCACAATTGTTGCCTGACTTTGTCACTTAAATTGACAAAGTTCTCAGGTGTATAGAACTTCCAAGAGACAGACAATTTATATATATATAGTCAGGTCTATACTTTGCAGAAGAACTGGGAGAGTTCTTGTGGATAGTTTAGGCTTTTTAGGAAAAGATGTGGTTGGTAGATTGTATATTAATTTTGTTGGTGCAGATATCATATAATTTGTTGTCATATTGAATGGGAAGAACATATCATATGAGACCGTATAGAAAATAAAAATGTTAATAATTACCATTACTACCATGATCCACTTTTTTTGTCTCTCCATGCTCTCTACCTGTTCTATCACCATTTGATCTGTGAAAAAAGAGTGTCCATGACAATATGACATAATTAAGTAATTATGAAGAGAAGTAATATGAGTTCTTATATTTTGTTTTGCATTTACTTTACTTGTATATATGTGTGGTGGAGAATCTCTATTAATACATACTACTTCCGTCCCGTATTGGTTGTCCTGTTTTAATTTGACATGATTATTTATAAAGTGGTTGAAAAACAAAAATTGAGGGTGAAATTTGAATAAAGTAAAGTAAAATGATGAGGACCATATATTTCTTGCAAAAAAAAGAAACATGACATTCATTTTGGGACAACATGAAAAGGAAAGTAGGACAACCAAAATGAGAGGGAGTACTATCTGTATTATTTTACTTGTGACATTTTCCTTTTGGGCAAGTTCTTATTGGTGGTCACATTTCCATTTTTGAAAACATTTATCCAATTTTTCATTGTTTTTTCCTAACAATTCCTTTTCATATTTCCCACTGTTTCTACTTTTTGTCAGGGCTTTCATTCGAAAAAACTTATTGTAATTCAAGCTTAATTTCGAAATTCATGTGTCATATTTTAATCGGATTAACGAGAATTATATCTTTATTTTTGTCCAATGTTGATAAAGTAAAGGTATACTACTTGTATATACTAGCATCGCAAAACACGGGTGTGGCTATATAGTATGAGGGCTGTTTGGCTAAATGGTGCTTTAATCACTGCCATCCAGAAAGGGAAGAAGTATGTTCATGAAAGTCAAATATTCGAATTATGAAATGCAATGTCCAGAGGAGAAAAACTTATCATACATAGGTCGAATGCTTCTTTTGACTTTTAAGGCCATTAGAGTTGAAAAAAGAATGGCAATTGGAAGCTATTTCCCATTGTTTTTTGGCTTTATTCTCCTAGCAAATTATTACTGCCTTATTAGCACGATTTCAATATGTTCAAAATAGGGTTGTTGAGAAACAACCAAGTTCAAATCTTCTCTCAAAAGTTTTGACCATTCATTTCCTTGCAATAAATTTTACGAGAAGTAAATTAAATAAGAATGGCCTGTGAGTCTGGATAGTTCAAATATTTTCCTCTAGAGATATTACTTAAAATAGGACTAAAAAGTTTGAAAATTCCAAAATAGGACTTCCATATTTTTATTCCCAAAATAGGACTAATTACTGTCATGTTTTGGCAGTACCAGACTTCAAACATGGCAGTATTTTCCAAATTTGGCAGTAATTAGTTCTATTTTGGGAATAAAAACATGACAGTCTTATTTTGGAATTTTCAAACTTTTTTAGTGCTATTTCGGGAACTTCCCCTTTCCTCTGAACTTAGTAATTGAGGGAATGAAAATGAGGATTATTCCCATTCTGCCCACGTGAGGAGAAGACTATAGGTGGATGATAAGATGAGGTTGTAAAATAATTCGATGTACTTGTAAGGCATTAATAGTGTAGTAATTAAGTAAAACCAATGGGCAAATTTCTTTGACAACGAACATCACCCTCTCATATGAGGGCAATCGGAAAATTCTATTTGCAGCCATTGATTTGCTAAACATAGACACATATTTTAACATTTCTACTTTACTCTTATTATGTAGCCTAAATTGCAATCACTCATATCCGGTCTTTACCGATTAATATATGCGAAAATACATACTCCGTATAAGGTGATGGAGAGAGGCAGATGTATGCAAATGTATGTTCATCTCAAGGCTCCATCTTTTGATGTTCCGATCACCTTATCCAAGTTTTGCATGAAGGTAGAATGGCCATGCGCATCCCCACCCATTTTCTTCACACCTGTTGAATGGGTTCCTCTTTTCATTGAGGGCCAATGAATCGCCGGACGAAGGAATTGATAGCAGACTAGATTTTGCTATTGATTAATCAATTAATGGTAGGATTAATAGTCCAACAATCCAATTCACCACTCTTCGTCCTCTTTATGTTCCTTTCGCTGCTGCTTGCTCCGCCAAAGCACCATGTCTTCCCTTCCCGACGACCTCCTCCTAGAATGCCTCTTTGGTTGGAGCATTTTTGTCTTCCAGTGTGCATATTTGTCTTGCATTTTTGTCTTCCAGTGTGCTGTCGCAGACTCGCTGGTTGGAGCTTTTAGATTGTCGCCCATTTGACTATTTCCAAAGAAGGTTAAATGATAAGCAGGGTAACTAGGTATTCTGTATTAAATAATATTTTATTTAATGATTGTGAATAACAATTTACCGAGTGTAAATATAATTACCCTAATACACAATTTTAGTCTATTGCGATTTTCTTGCATCAAAGGTGGTTGATTCTATAAGACGCTTGTCTTAATGTGAAGCTTTTGATCGGGCTTCATTAATGGTAAAAGGTACAAATTTTTGTTAAATGCTAGTCACTGTAACATCTCAAACATATACAACTAGAAACTTTTTAAAAACTTTTTAAATAGTACAAAAGTTAGAAGGCAGGGAGTTAGGGACTTATGTCTACCAAACATCCGCTAAGTTTGACAAGCTAAAAAGATCTTTTTTTTTATCTTAACTTAGCAGTTCGGTTAATACTTTAACCCAAACCCAGTCCATTCAATGCTTCATATCAACAATATCAAAACCTCACCCAAACAGGACAAACCTCGAACTTATAACCTAGACAAAAAGAAAATGGCTTGAATTTATTGTATTCTTGCCGTATACCTTAACTTATGTTTCTGAGTTTATCATTTTGTTTGTCAATTATGAATTTGTTGATGATTTATCGGCCTTCATTTTGTTGGGAAAGAAAATGAGGATTTATCTTACTGTGTAAGTTATTTAAACTACTTATTGTTGATATGTTTGGTTGTTTTGTAAACAGATTTAATTGGAAAACATTTATAAAAGTGCAAATTACCCGTAAGGATCACTTTTGTGTGATCCATATCATTTATGTCCCAATTATTTTTCCTTTTCATTTTTAACTTTTGTATTTTCAATTATCTTTATTTATTTCACTTTTAGACTATACACCCCTTCTTCATATAGATTAGAACTGGCAAAAAGTAAAAGACAGCTTCGTGCGGTGAAGACGATGAAATTCTCATCGGTGGAGACAAAAGCCGATTGGGAATCCACTCTCACCAATTCTTCATCAATTCTACGGTGAATTAGGCTTTCATGATCTTCTTCGACATCGGAGACATGAAGATATCGTTGTCCAACCATCTCAGGCCCGAGTCAGAGCCATCATCGACGACGAGAAGCTCAAGGCACTATGCGATTTCAATCGCCTCCTTGATCTTATGTTCAATCACTCAAACTTGAACAGTTTCAATCGCCAACTCCGTGCCACCTTCAAGGTCCTGGCCTCCTGGGAAAGGTTAATTTTCCGGCAAGGGGATGTTAGATCTAGCGGAGAGCTTTGCAACGAGGAATTCATTGCAAGTGTACGATGCTCTCCAAGTGATTGTGCGCCTCTGTGAGTATGTTAATCCTTGCAATTATCTTCCTTTATTAAAGTTTGAATTCATTTTTACATCACTACTACATACATTCAACATATGCTAGATGGAAGCTATCAGGTGGTAAAGTTTGTCGTGTCTCTCAAGTATTTTTATCTCTGTCCTTCTACGAATTACACTAAATGCTAAATCCAATTGCCTTGTAGGTTTTTTATGTGATGGCATCATTCGTATTTCTATAAAGCATCAACTACCTCAACTAAGTATTTGAGTCACTAATAAACTTCTACGAGATGTAGAGTCTTGAAAAACTTTAGTTGAAAGGTAAAAAACAGAAATTAAAGTTAACAATGTGATGGACAGTCTACCCGGGGGGTATCTTATCCGAGGGGTTATTGCGGGAATAACTAGAGAGAAGTCAGAGTAAATAGGAGGAGAGAGAGTCGATTTTATTAAATGAACTCGAGATGTCCAGTGATCTGGATCCTTTACAAGGAGAAATGGGCTGCTATTTATAGCAGCAATAAATGCGATGAGAGTACACGTGTCAGTAATCCCACGGCCGAGGGGTCACATCAGTCGGGTGGCACCGGCAGTGGTACGTTCACCGCATTGAATGCGGTTGGCGGATGTGACGTTGCATTAAATGCGGTGGTTGGCTGTCTCCAAAAGAAATCTTCGATGATTGAGCTAGTTCAGCCGAAGGCTCCTTGTGTAGCCGAGGGTTCCACGTGGCAAGGACCCTGTGTGGCCGAAGGCTTTGTTCAGCCGAAGGCTTCTCTGATGCCGAGGGCTTGACGATGCCGAAGGCTCATGTTTTCGCCGTTTTCTCCCAGTAGTTTCTTATGCCGGAGAAGGCTACCCTGTGAGTTTTGGAGCCTTCGGCCAAGGAGGCCGAAGGCACCCTAGTGTGTATTCCGGGCTACTTTGAGGTTTGGGCCGTTGTATTTGGGCCTGAGTTGTTTCCTGGGCTCAATGGACTTGTGTAGGAGAAGTAGGAGTCTATGGGCCGGGGGTTCCTGGGCCATATACTCCATCACAATGTATGATTGATCAGTGCTCCCTATAATGTATGCCTCTCTACCAGTCCTAACACTTTTGGTTAATAATTGAATAGAGTTTCAAGGGATCCACAATTTAATAGTTTTACTCATTCATTATGAGATCTGGATATATGCAGAACTCTGTAAAAGAGAGGTTGATGTCACTTGTAAAAAAGCTAGGGAATTAAGCTTCTAAACTTCAATATATATAACCATGATGGCTTCTAAACTCTATTATTTTGATTTGTTTGTAGATCCTCTATTGTATAGGCTAAGTGCATATAGCAGAATGACTTGATATATGTTGTTTCAACTTACCTCTAGATCTTGACATCAAAGTAATGGTATTTCACTCTCAAACTTACTGGTGTGGAATCTGACATAGTTAGTACAAGTATTGAGTTATGTATATAATGTTTAGATAATTTATACAAGTAATATTTCACACACAAATTTACATTAGAATTATGTGATTTTGTAAAAAAATGGTCATACTTTTCCAATTTCATATGCATGCTCGTTCATTATGAAACACTTTCATTTATATAATTTGTTGTTTAGCAATAGAATATATGGTTGTGTATATAATGTTTAGATAGTGAATAAATGTTGAAACTCTGTTATTTATCCATTCACCAAGTTTAGAGATAAAAATGTGATTATCTTATAGAAGCTGTGAAGTGATATTTTGTGGACATTTCAACCAAACTAAGTTTGAGATTGATCAGTATTAAAATCCAGAAACTACATTTGGCTTAAACTAGGAACTGGTCTGGAGAAATTTGTTGAGTTTCTACCCTCTACGGTTAAATATTATGTAGGAATCTAGAAACTAGATACTAGTCTTGTTAGAAATCTCAGAATTAACATAGAAGCTACAAACAACTTGGAAATTGTATTTGGCTGAATTTTAGTTTCTAGAGTTAAATATTATGCTAATATATCAAAAGACTAAGTCCAGAAAAACTATTACTTCATCAATTAAAAAAGCTTCTATAAGAAACTCATGGTTGGTAATTACTAAATTAGTTAAAATACACTTTTTTATGCAGGTCTCACCTTCAAGTATATTGGGATCTGAAAATGCGCGCTGAATCGCAAGGATTTGCTTTATCATTTCATTTAGTTGTAAATGTATATTAGAAAATGAGATTGGTTGTACACACTTTTATATTGTGTACTTTATTTGTTATTGTAATCATGAAAAAGAAAAAAGAAATGTGACTATTTATTCATTAGATGCAATTATATGTTGTTTTTATTTTTTGTTTCTCTTTGTTGCATTATGTTGCCTATTGTTGCATTATGTTTCATCTTGTTTCTATTACATTGTTGCATCATGATGCTTTTTGTTGCATCATGTTGTTTTTATTGTTTTATGTTGTTAAAATTGTTTTGTTTTTTGTTTTTTTGTCTATATATATCTTTGTTGTTTCTATGGAATAAGAAAATCATATATATATATATATATATATATATATATATTACGTATATTATATATACACACACAAGCATCTAAACGGATAAATATTAAATTTATGAATAAAAACGACAACCATAAACACCAAGAAACAATAAAAAACAAAAAAAATCCAAAGTTAGAAACATAAATAAACGATAGGAAACAAAGAGTAATAATGAAATGATGATTATAATAGTATTTTTAATATTTTAAAAAACGACTTATAAATCTCTTATATATTTTTATCTTTTACTTTTTTGCCTTTTATGCATGACATTTTTTAATTAGTTTCACTTTTTTACTTTTTGAATTTTTATGTCTTACACGCTCTTTAGTTTACATTAACTTTTCTATTATCTAACAATTATAAATTATATTTTTAAGTTTTTTGTAAAATTTACTCTGATTTATTTCTTCAAATTTTACATTTATTTTTTAACACTATAAATTTTGCCTTTACAACATTTTACTCTGTCATTCAAAATTACACTTACTTTTTTATATTTTATAATAGTTTAAATAGTTCTTTATCCTATTTTTACATATTTTTTTATAATTTTAGATGTACATATTTTTAGTGTGTTCATTTTTATTATTTTTAAACCTATAATTTTTTATATTGTTGACAATTTATGTTTTTTTAATTATTAAATATATAAACAAAAATACAATATTAAATTCATTTTTTTTCAATGCTCCCAGTTTTTTTAAACTTTTTTTATATTTTATTGTATTTTCTAAATTTTGTGTACATTTACTCAACAATGTTTTGAGTTTTTAATTTAAACTTTTACATTAATTTACAAGTTTTTAATTTTGCAATTTTTACTATGCATTTTTAAATTATTAGCTTCATTTTTTAATTTAATTTTAATTCCTAAACTTGTTATGGTGTTTCTAACTATTATGATGGATTACATTTTATTTGTTCATGAACTTTACATTTTCTTTTTAAAAAAAAAACAAAAGCAACAATCCATGCATTTTGTAGTACTTTATTGATAATGGAATAGACCTTTACGTAATGTTTGCACCCAGCACGGAGGTTCCAGTGGCCCGTGGCGTAGTGTGGTCTATTATTGAAAAGAAAGAACAAATTGTCTACTTTTGAAATAAGTTTTAGAAATTGAAAAACGTGATATTGTTTTCACTTTCACGACTACTTGCGAAAATTTCCCTTTATAAAATGTCAAAAACATGGAATTCATTTTGGTGGGTATAAAATGCCAAACCGAAACTGCTTAAACTCGGCCCAGACCAATAGTAGTGAGGTTTATTTACAGAACTTTGTTCTGAAATATTTTGGAAAGTTTCAAGTGCCATAAAAACCTGAGTCGGACCGAACCCATCCCACCACCCAAGACTTCCATTTATGTACTATCATCACCTTCTGCAAGCATTTCCCTCTTTCGCCTAGCAACCTTGGACCTCTGACACCATGTTTCAAAGGCCACGGTAAGGTCTGGATACGTTGGATTTCTCCACCACCCTGTCAAGATCTCTGCTTGATCAGCAGAGGGCAATGCAAGTATCAAAGAAACAAATAATGACTCCAATAACATCCACATCTCATCATCAATTATAGGGATCTTATCATTGTAACTCATCGTGTCAATCAAAGATCTCATTTCCCTGACAAATGGAAGCCAAACCTTTGTCATGTGAAGCCGTTCCGTTGCAGGCAGAACGACCTTTCCATATGCTATGGCATCTAACACCATTGCTGCCACATCAAGAACAATCACTCTTATCAAAACGGTCTCGGTTTCTTTGCTCAACTTCTGTACCACTATTAATATTTTGAACGATATCTGCGTCCATCTGTGAACAAAATCTCTCAAACTCTTCATCTTTGATAATATGTGAAACGCCCAGGACAAATCTGATAAACACGATTTAAATTAGGGCTGGGCACGGGCCGGGTCGGGGCGGATAATGCAAAATATAATGGAACCGCCGGTTCCATTGTACGGTTCGGTCCGGTCCGGGTATTACAATTTTCAAAATAGGAACCGGAAATTACCCGGCCCGTTTGAAACGGGTCGGTCCGGTCCGGGTTTTATGGTTTCTATTCTCATGTCTTGAAATTAGTAAAAACTCACAAAGTTCCAAAAATCAATAATCAATAATATAGGATATTAGCAAGTTTCAAAATAACAACATAGTGGTGCACATATAACACAAGCGAAAAGTCCAATACTCCATAATTTATTGTATATAAGTTTCAAACAATTAAAGAAATTCCAAAAATATGCAACATAGCCAAAATACATACTTTCTAACATTTGTATTTGAACATGTTGTCTAACATCACATATTAAAGTGATTGCTTTTTTTAATATTAAATTTTCAGTATTAGCCAAAGTTGACACATACATAGTGGGTGGTAAACATAATTTATATATTTTAATAACAATATAATACAAAAAATATAACAAAATCATCTTTAACAAATAATTAAATTCCATAAAAAGGAATAATTCAATAACAATAAAAAGTAATACGATATTTATGAAACATTTAATCAATAATTTGAAATCAAAAGGATGTTACTGCAACTCAATTTAAAATCCTACTTCTAGCAAAGGAAACAAAACTATTTCAAAACCGATTATCACAAAACTATTAAGAAATTAATATACAATATATATATAACGGGCCGGGCCGGGTACCCGTTATTTTTTAATTTTGGAACCGGTCCGGTTCCTTAAAAAAATTACCCGACCCTACCCGGACCGTTTTATGGCAACAAAAAATGGAACCGGTCCGTTTTGGACCCGAACCGCCATTACCCGGACCGGACCGCGGTTCCAAGACCCGTTTGCCCACCCCTAATTTAAATGATAGTAGTAGCATTTTGCTGTCCTCAGAATCACACTGTAAAGATTCTACTAGTTCGCTTAACCTATCGTGGAGTCTCTTAATGCATTGCACCACTTCTAGTTTGATGTCATTATTATCAGCTGTTAATAGAGGAGCATTGTTGTCTTCAGTCAACATGTCATCGAGCTCTTCTTGAGCTGTTATTTTTAGATCGTTCAAAGAGGCTGGAGGTGAGGAGGTGGCGAATCGCATTGCTGAGAGAAATAGTTTGATCATCACAGAGGGAACAACAGGTTGTAAACGGGCAAGCACGGGTCTCACTTCAGGTCCCATGTTTGGAATTAGTTTTAGGATATCCTCTTCCTCATCTTCCTCCCATGGGACAGCTTCCAGATACTCTGCACATGCAGTAACAACTTCCGGGCAGCCAAGCTTGAAGGCTGCCTGTAAAACGCCGAGGGCCGTCCTAACACCATGGAAAATATCAGCATTCACTGAAGAATCTGAACTGAGATACAAGAGACGAAGGGTGTGGAGTGTGTGGTCGAAGTCATTTTCTTCACAGTGAACCTCAACACAGTTGCGGGATTCAAGATTTTGACACACTGGCCAGGTGTCGGATAACCGTTCAGCAAAATACTTGCTTTGTCGGACAAGGATATGAGAATGGCAATAAACCCAGTGATCACGATCCTGTGTTCTAAGCCTTACCACAACATCACTGGTTAGGCGGTCATCGATCCTGATTGATGCTTTTGATTCATTTGGCTGATGAAAAGTTAAGAAAGCAGGCCGTGTAATTTTTCAGGAGACAAATATAATTGGCTTTAAAATTTCAAATCACAATACATTTTGCATTACTAATTAATGGAAAACTATAAACAAGTACTACGTATAAAGGAGTGCTTCCACAAACAAAGATAAATAAATTGGAAGCTAAGAGCTTGTTTGGTGGGGAGGATGCGCCTCATTGAATTGACTGAATTATGTTAAATCGAATTCCAAACAATTCTTTGGATAAATTAAATGAAATAATAGTTGATATGAGTGTAGATAGGTACTTTAACTTTGATGTAGTCATTTCTCAAAAATAATACGGAGTAACTTCATCCAGTGGCACAAAAGTTTAACATATGAATAACGTTGCAAGCTAGAATTGTTGCATTAGTAGTGACTAGTGAGGACTCCAAAATATGCATGGACTGATAATTTCGAAATCGTTAACGATATGTTAGGAACCCGAAACATCATAGGAAGAGACAATAGAGAGAAACTTGTAGAACAAATTTCGGAAGGAAAGAAAATGTTGAGGAAAATAAAATATTGGTTCAAACACAATAAAACTATGCTTTTCAAATTCATTTCATAAATTGATTTCTATCATATTAATAATATAGAAATCTAAACAGGTGAAAGTTTACAGGCTTATAGCAATTAAACATATCTCGTATTCCTTTGCATTTTCTGTCTGAGGTAAAACTAAACATAAGAAAATAACTTTCCTTGCGGTACCATTTTCTAGGATCCAAAATTAGCTTAAAGAGGTCAAGAAACTCACATGAGAATCCATCAGGCAAACAAAAAGACTGGTTTCAGCTTCTATATATTGCTTCACCTATAAGAGATAAAGAATATAGATTGTTACTTGAAAATGAGGAAAAACAAAAATCATACAATTACAAAACCGACCAAATCGAGAAAATGCAGCATCACGTAGCTTGACTCTGTTTTTTTACATCAAGGAGTCTGCACTATGCTACTACTTAAGTATGTAGAGTAAGCCAATAACACACCCCCAAACAAATTACACATTGGTTATAGGTGTGTCAAGAATGATGTGACAATAATTTTCAAACATTTACTATGCAAACATACTTGGTTGTCATAAAAATGAGCTGTGACAATAATTCCAATGACCATTTGTTCTAAAAGTTATGCCCAGGCGACTGAGTCAGACATATTTCAAATACCTTGAGTTCTGATATATATATATAGGAAGTTTCAATGTGATCTGTAAGGGACAATTGGCAAACAAAATGATTAAGGTTATAGTCACATTCCTGAAATTATTTCTGCAATGTTATGTTGAGGACTTGAGGTTATTCCTGAATTCATAGTGGAAACAATGGAGTCAGTACCACAGCATCCGCCTCAAGGGAGAGTATCTTCTGGTTACACGTGAGGAGAAAACAGACATTTGCTAAGAACTAGGCATCTCACAGGGGAGTGATAAAAGGTCTAGCACTCTAGCCTTAACGGAAGCAGCTTACAACTAAGGGATTGCTTGAAACACAGAAGATGATGGGGAAAGATAATACAGAGGCAGTTATATGAGTGATTTGGAAATAGTGAACATGTTGAAGAAAAATAAAACTTTGTTTTAGAATCAATAACTTTATTTTTTATATTTTCTCATATTCGATATTAAATGTTTATTTCTACTGTACAAATATTAAACATTCCAAACAAATGTAAAAGCTTTTTAAAATAGACATCATATATATGAATAATGAAGAAGCATATATACATGCATCTACATAGTACTAAACATGATGAACCGGTGGTGTAGATTTTTTTTGTGAATCACACTGCCGTCTCTGAATTGATCGGTGAATCATTGCTTTAAGAAAAGTTCATTATTGAAACATTGATTACAATTTCAAGAATCAAAGTCACACATAACTGAAGAACCAATGGCTTTTTCTGGACGTAAAAACAACATGACCACCATAAGGATAATCAATCTCTACTGGTGAAATTCTTAATTACGTCACTCAACTTTTAGAGGCAAGCATTACTTCTTATATATCCTGGCAATAATATAAATCACTGTAACAGAAAGTACAGCAAAAAACGTTTACCTACATTGGAGAGAACTCTGGCCTGACATTAAAAACTGATACCACTAGATTTAGGTTTAACAACTGCTGCTGCTGCTGCATTAATCGTTTGTATTGAAAATTTAAACGTCTTGAAGTGTTTTGAAGCACTTTTAAGTTCTACAACTTCCGTGGAGGAGGACCTGCAAACGAAGCAAGGTGGATAGCAATTACTAACAGCTTCAGTTAGGGTGAATCGAAGAAGATAAAAACGAAGAAATAGTAATGAATTGGTACAAATTTGAGAATGGTAAGAGACTTATGGGAAGAAGAGGAGCCAGAATTGAGAAAATTCGTTCTCCAATCCCTAGCAACTTACTTATATCGGAAGTCTTATCAAGCCTTCTTGAATTTCACAGCTGTTGCAGAGGACGGCTGGACCGGCAAACGAAGGAAGTTAGGGAGCAATTATTAATTAGGATGAACGGAAGAATGAAGAAACGAAAAAAGGTTAAAATGAATTGGACAAGTACTGGTTCAGAGAATCGAAGAAGACAGAGACGGAAGCTAGGCGTTAGTTAAAGTTGTTACAGTAGAACGAAACAGGTAATATACGAAAGTGTAAGAACTTCCAAGATTTTGTATATATTTGGAAATTCAAACATGTCACTAAAACTGAGTATATACGATCATCACTAACTAGATTTTTATATATTTGGGAATTCATACATGTCACTAAAATTGAGTATACAAATGCAACTAACTCAGTATACAAATGGAAATTAATATATGCCATTAAATCTTAATAAATTCTGCACACATGCGGTGTTAGCTATTTTAATAAATTGGAAGATTGGAATTCAACGTGAGTATATTATTCCATCTGAGCTGTTTAAATACAATTGCCAAGAGTCCAGATAAAATTCTATAACTAACTACCGAAACTAGCTAAAGTTAATCGCATCGCGTGCGATCTGCGTATTTGGGTAAGTTACAACAACAATTCAAATTATTTTGAATAAACAATAATAAAGGCAAGTAATATGGAGAGTGCAATGCATGTGGACGGGTATGGTGAAGTCCATGCATGCGTATTGCCGAGATTGTTGGAGGCTATGCATGTGCCATGCATACGTGCGTTAACACCCCCCCGCAGTCAAAGCGGGAGGTGGCCGGATGCTTAGACTGGAGCGGAAATCATCAAATAAAACACGAGGCAGGCCTTTGGTGAAGATGTCGGCAAACTGGTGACGGGAAGGAACGTGAAGAACACGAACGTCCCCGCGAGCAACTTTTTCCCGGACGAAGTGAATGTCCATTTCTATATGTTTGGTGCGATGGTGCTGAATAGGATTACCGGACATGTAAACGGAGCTGATGTTATCACAGTAAACTAGTGGAGCTTGAGAAAGTGGACAGTGAAGTTCTAAGAGAAGATTCCGCAACCAACATGTCTCAGCCACTACATTAGCTACACCCCGATACTCAGCTTCGGCACTGGACCGAGAAAGAGTAGGTTGCCGTTTTGATGACCATGAGAGAAGATTGTCACCAAGATAGACACAATAACCGGAGGTAGAACGACGTGTGTCCGGGCAGCCACCCCAGTCGGCATCGGAGTAAGAGATCAAGCTAGTGATGGACGACGGCCGGAGATGGAGGCCAAAATGTAGTGTTCCTTTTATGTAGCGAAGAATCCGTTTGAGGGCATGAAGATGAGGAGCACGGGGGTCATGCATAAATAGGCAAATTTGTTGAACGACATAGGAGATATCCGGTCGGGTAAAGGTAAGGTATTGGAGTGCGCCGGCAAGGCTGCGGTACATGGTGGCGTCATCCACTGGAGGGCCGGAAGTGGCACTTAGCTTGGAATTGGTGTCAACCGGGGTGGCCACAGGATTGCAATCGGAAAGGTTAGCTCGAGAGAGAATTTCCCCGGCATATTTTTGTTGACTAAGAAACAAACCATGTGGGTGACGGGTGACGGCGATTCCCAGAAAATAACTGAGAGGTCCGAGGTCTGTCATAGCGAACTCAGTAGCCAAAGTTTTGATAATGGAGGTCCGAAGTTGATCCGTGGAGGTGGTGAGGATGATATCATCCACGTACAACAACAAGTAGGCAGTATTGTTGCCGTGGTGATAAATAAATAAGGAGGGATCACAGATGCTATGACGGAAACCGATGGTGGAGAGAAAAGTGGAGAACCGATGATACCAAGCCCGAGGCGCCTGTTTGAGTCCATAAAGAGATTTTAGGAGCCGGCATACATGATGAGGTTTAGAGGGGTCACGGAAACCGGGAGGTTGGTGCATGTATACAGTTTCCTCCAAGTGGCCGTGAAGGAATGCATTCTTGACGTCAAGTTGATGAAGTGGCCAAGAGTGATGTAATGCTATAGACAAGACGGTCCGAATGGTAGCCGGTTTGACCACCGGACTGAATGTTTCGTCGCAATCAATACCGGGTTGTTGTGACTTGCCGTTGACCACAAGTCGTGCTTTGTGGCGTTCAAGAGCTCCATCGGATCTGTATTTATGTTTAAAGAGCCAAAGACAACGAATAATATTAGTGTTAGGAGGCCGGGGAACCAACTCCCACGTCTGATTTTTAATAAGAGCACTAAACTCGTCTTGCATGGCGGACAACCAATTCGGGTCACGTAGGACAAGGATGGGGGATTTGGGAATGGGTGACGGAATTTGTGAAGTCTGGGATAAGAGAGATAGAGGATTTTTTGGTTTGAAAGTTCCCACCTTGCTACGTGTGATCATTGGATGCGTGACAATGATGGGGGTGGTGAACTGGAGGATGTCGGCTTGGAGGGTGGTGGTGGGGCAGTGGTATCATGTTGTAGTTGGGATAAAATAATAGGGTGAATGGAAGGGTGGAGAAAATTATATGGATCGTGGAGAGTAGGCTCGGTTAAGGATTGGTATGGGAATATTTTTTCATTGAAAGTGACATGGCGGGAGAGGAATATTTGGCCAGTGTGAGGGTTAAGGCAAATATAACCTTTGTGATGTGTAGGAAACCCCAAAAAAATGCATGGTGTTGACCGTGCATCTAATTTATGAATCGTAGAGGAGGGTGTATTGGGGTAACACAAACAGCCGAATACGCGAATGTGGTCATAAGTTGGGGTTTTATGGTATAAAATGTGAGTAGGGGAGAGATTAGAGAGGGTTGAGGAGGGTAGAACATTGTGCAGATAGGTAGCCATTTGGACGGCGTGAGGCCAGAATTTGGGTGGGATAGAGGCATGCACTAGTAAAGTACGAGCCATGTTGTTTATGGTGCGTATAGTGCGTTCAGCTTTTCCGTTTTGAGGGGAGGTGTAAGGGCAAGAAAAACGGAAATGTAAGCCATGTTTAATAGCAAATGAGGAGTTGTCAAATTCTTTACCATTGTCACACTGCAATGTTTTTATTTTTTGATTAAATTGTGTATGAATGTAAGTATAGAATTTGACAAAGGTATCATAAACTTGGGATTTGTATTGTAAGGGAAATATCCAAAGAAATTTGGAAAAATCATCCAAAAATAACACATAATAGCGGTGTGCATTTGAACTTAAAACAGGAGAAGTCCAAAGATCGCTATGAATTATATCAAACGGAGCATGTGTATGAGACAACGAAGAAGTAAATGGAATTTTATGGTGCTTTCCCAACTGGCAGGCCGTACAATCCAAATTACATAATTTATTACATGGAATGATTTTATTTGAACGAAGAAACTGAAAAACGGGATTGCCAGGGTGACCGAGGCGGCTGTGCCATGTCTCGGCCGGTATAGCTATGAAGGCATTAGGAGAAGATGACCGAACATGGGCTGGCCGGAGAGGATAAAGATCGCCCGAACTACCACATCTCATAAGAAGCAATCCCGTGCGGAGTTCCTTCACAGAAAAACCAAACGGGTCAAACTCAATTGAAATATTATTATCGGTAGTAAGACGACGAATGGAGAGTAAATTTTTTACTAAATTAGGGGCATGAAGAACATTGTGTAAGAGAAGGGGTGGGTTGGGTGGTGAAAGGGATGCACTGCCATGACCAATAATGGGGATAGATTGACCATTACCCACCATAATACGTTGTTTTGTACTATTATTAAAATAAGACGTAAGAGTACCTCCCTGTGATGTCATGTGAGAGCTTGCCCCCGTGTCAAGATACCAGTTGTCGTCCGGCGGAGTGAGTGACATGCTGGCCATGGCCGAATGGATATCAGTGGGAGACGGGGCAGCAATGTGTGCTTGTTGAGGCCGTGGACCTAGAATGCCGGCAGTGGGAGAGGGAGGCCGAGAGCTTTGGTGTCCGGGCCACGCATTGGATGGGTAGGGGCACGGCGGAATGCTCCATGGTGGCGGCCAGTAACCCCATGGGGGCATTTTCCACGGGTTGGCAGTTTGTGGTGCCGTTGGAGCACCGGAGGGACGGTTGCGACCACCACGTGAAGAGCCACGCCCCCTGCCGCGATTTTGAGGGCGCCCAGGTTGAACATCCGGCCGTGGCGCAACAACTGGAGCCCCGGTATGAACCAAAGCAGTGGGTGAGGAGTTGTTTTGTTGAGTCTTCCGGGTTTCCTCCAGAAGGAGCATCGATCGGGCCTGGGAATAGGGAGGAAGAGGGACGGTTTGTTGGATGAGAGAAGCAACCGAGTCATAGGCCGGAGGGAGGCCATTCACAATACGCAACACCAATCGTTGATTGTTGACGGGAGAACCGACGTTGGACAATTTCGTGGCCAGAGTTTTGAGAGCCTTGCAATAGGAAGCAATGTTAGGGAAGCTCTCCAACCGGGTATTGGAAAATTCGGTTTCGAGATGCAGCGCCCGAGTATTTTTGTTGTCAAGAAAGAGATCGGCCAAGCGATCCCATGCGGCTTTGGTAGTAGAATCCGGCTCAAGAATGGTATGCAAAAGATCATGAGATATAGTCCCATAAATCCATTGTAACACCATGGCATCAAGCCGTTTCCAAAGAGCCTCAGAGTTGGATTTTGCGGCGGCGGCGGCAAGAACTTGCTCCGGAGTTTGTTCTGGAGGTGGGTTGGTGGAAGTGGAAGCGGTAGAGGTATCCGTTTCAACAGGAAAAATGTGATCTTCAACCTGGTAGGCACGGGTTGTGATCTTAAAAAGTTCAGTCCAGGAGGAGTATTCCACATTCTCGAGATCGAGAGTAATTGGAATAAAACTTTTTATGTTGGTGAGAGCAAGAGCTGGGTGAAATGATGGGGATTTGGCGGAAGCCATGGGAGGAAGAAGAGAGTCTCTGATACCAAATTGGAAGATTGGAATTCAACGTGAGTATATTATTCCATCTGAGCTGTTTAAATACAATTGCCAAGAGTCCAGATAAAATTCTATAACTAACTACCGAAACTAGCTAAAGTTAATCGCATCGCGTGCGATCTGCATATTTGGGTAAGTTACAACAACAATTCAAATTATTTTGAATAAACAATAATAAATGCAAGTAATATGGAGAGTGCAATGCATGTGGACGGGTATGGTGAAGTCCATGCATGCGTATTGCCGAGATTGTTGGAGGCTATGCATGTGCCATGCATACGTGCGTTAACATAATATGTAACTGTAAAAAAACTATTTTAATATGTCACTAAAAGTGGCTATCACAATGTGTAATTTTACCATATATACACTTTTCCAATACTACAATGTCGATCCTTTCAACCTACCGTTGGACATGAATACCACATGCAATAGTAATATTATTACATTCCTTATGGATGCACTAGAGTCCGGAGAAAAATGTTTTGCATGTCTTTAATGTTTATATAATATACAGAGGGTGTTTGGCAATTGGCTGTTTGCTATTTTGTTGGAGGATTGGTAACGACAGATTCTGTTGGCTGTTTTGATTAGCTGATAATATTATCTGTTTATATAACAGTGTTTGGTTATATGACTGTTTACAATTGGCTGATAAATTGTTAAATTACTTTTAAGGACATCAAGTAATTTGTTTTGTTTACTAAGGATGTTTTTACTTGGACTGTAATTTGCTGGTCTGGTCTGGTTTGGTCTGGTCTAGTCTGGTCTGAACTGGTCTGGTCTGGTCTGGTTTCTTTGTGTATTTATAACTATCCAAGTCTGGTCTGGTCTGGTCTGAACTGGTCTAATCTGGTCTGATCTGGTCTGGACTAGTCTGGTCTGGGACAAATTACAGTCCAAGTAAAAACATCTTAACTACTTTTATGCTACGTATATCAGTACGCTGCTTCACACATTTTGCTAAAATTATTAATAGAGCTACTTAATCCGTTTTTATTTAATAAAAATAAAAGTTTTTCAACCCATGGTTTTACCAAACATGTCCCAACATTAAATTCGTGCAGTGGCTTCAAGTTTATACTCCGTATTATATTATATATAAATTTATTTAATTAATTATGTAGTCATGATAGCCATAGTTATACATTATTTGAGGCACTCTCCCAATGCACCAATATTTACAATACTGTTTTTTTTTTTGCTTAAGGCACGGTATGGAAAACGAAGTGACGAAGGCAACAGAAGAGAAGGGAAGTAAGGTGGGCACAAAAGGAATTCACTATACATATTCCAACGGCCAAGTGCAAAACGCTAGGTTCCATAGTTTTTTTAGGATAAAAAAACAATTAACCAAACATCTCAATTAGCACTTTATCTGGTCAATAGGCTAAAAAGTGGTCAAATCAAACAACTAAATTTGATAATTAAATGTAATAAGTGTACCGAAGGAATTGAAAGGAAATTATGCATTGATGACAAGGCACCAAACATTATTAATTACAAATATTTGATAGGGAATTAGTGAGAAAATAATAGATATTGACTTCATTCTGTGATGAATCTTGAACTATGCCTTTTCTCATTACATACGTAGTAAAAGTATTTGTCTGTGACTGTGTGTTATACTAAATTGTTAACTAAAATGTAAATCTTATAAATCCTCTGTGTTAACTGTTTTTGTAATATTAAAAAAAAACTCTTTTTGTAAGTTCACCTAACTTGTAGAAGATACCTAATATAATTAGGATAATACATTTAAAATGCATTACTTATGAACAAAATTATCAGTCATTTTTTACACACCAAACACATAACTTTCGTTTTCACTCGCTTAATTATTAACAACAGAATAAATAATATTGAAATTACTTTTTTACCTGAATTGGTGAGATTGAAGTTACTTTTTTTTTTACTAAATTTGTTGCATATCACTATTTTAGCTATGCTTCCCATATAACATTTCCTTTATTTTCGTAATAAAATAGTCGATTTAACCGTTTCAACCAAAATTTCACTTATTTTAGTGGATTCAGTCAACTTTGTGTTATCAATCGGGTTTTTAGGTTACATGCGATTGAAATGTCAACAAATAAATTTTATTGTTTCTTAAAAACACAATTTTAATTTTTTTTCATTTACAAAAAAATATTAATATTTTTTTAATAATTTTTTCTTGATCATTTAAAGTTAGCAAAATCATGCATAGGCTAAGTAGAAATAATATATTTTGAAATTTATTTAGCTCAAATATTTTTAAAAAGAACAAAAATAGGGAGATAAAAATGAAAAAAAATATCCAAGGACTGCACATCCAAAACAAATAAACACTATGGCAGAAAGAACAAATAAAATAGAAAACGAAAAGTTTTGTCACTATCAAGTTGGATTGGAGGTAGTATCTAATACTCCGTATATTGGACATTATACTTTACTACCTCCATGACGTTAAAGATCTTCCCTTTTTGAAAGTGAGTGAGATTATAGTGAAATGAAATATAAATTATTGAGGGTATAATGGGAAGATAATAAAATAGTGTGATGGAATTGAACAAAGGATAAATCTAAAAAAGTAGGTGTAGTAGCAGAAATGATCAGGTCCAACCCTCCCTTGTCCGGTCGCCGTCCGAACTCTGCCGTTTGGGGCGGTTCCCGATAGAATTTTTTGATGAAATATTTTGTTCATGTTCCTCATCAAGCATAGTTTATCCACACAAAAATTCAGCTAAAAATTCAATCGGGAAGGCGGTCAAATAATTTTTTGAAGTTGACTGTGTTTTCTGTGTATAATTTTGCGCAGTCAACTTCAACAAATTATTTGACAGCCTTCCTGATCGAATTTTGAGCTGAATTTGTTTTTTGGATAAACTAGACTTGATGAGGAACATGTTCAAAAAAAATTATCAAAAAATTCCACCGGGAACCGCCCCAAACGGAGGAGTTTGGACGGCGGCCGGACATAGGACGGCTGGACCTGATCATTTCTCGGTGTAATAGTGTATTAATTTTAAAAGTATTTAGGGTATAATAATGAGAATATTTAGAAATGAGAAGATTATTTAGTTACGGTTGAAAAAGAAAAGTGGGAAGATCTTTACGTTTCAAAGGTAGTATTAGTTCTGAGTGACATGAAACAAATTAAATGCCCAGAGCAAAGCAGAGTTCGGTAAATCGGAATGAAAATAATATGATACAATGTTTATTAAACCGTCTAATGATACAATGTTCTCTGGCAGAGCTGATAATGCCACAAAAATAAGGATTCTTGGCTCTCAAAAAATTTACTTAAATGGTCTAATGATACAATGTTTATTAAACCGTCTTTAAGAAATCTAATATTAGATGCATGTACTTATCTATGAACTTGATATTAAATTCTCCCTCCATCCCACTCAATTTTGCCAATATGATATTAGCTGTGAAATTAGAATAGTAAAAATGGTGTGTTTGAGGTTTTTCTAGAGGAGATATAAATTAACAAGGCCACAAATTCATTACGTTAAAAGGAAAGTGCATGACAAAATTTAAAAAAAAAAAAAAACAAGATTTGGCAAAGTTCAATTAGAGGAAGAGAGTACGAAAGGAGTACTTGATTTTTTAAGATCATGTTATATTTCAATCAAATGGATTAGCTTTGGAACTTATTACAATGTCATGGATCCCTAATTTTGTAAATAAAGCAAAGACGAATATCGAATCTGGAAGGTAAAGCCAGAATGAGAGTAGCTTCAAGAAGTGGGTTGAAGAAGATTCTTATATGTGTTGACAAGGGACGTGCTATCAATAACACTAATTACGTGAATTATAAACAAGTTTTTGAAAACTTATGAGACTTTTTGCATGTACATGGTCAACATTTGTGATTCTTCTAATTTGTAGTTTTATGAAATCTACTAATAATTGTACAGTTGTACTATCATTTATTTCATTGTCGCGTAAAGCGTTGATGAAAACGGTTAGCAACACAAGAGGGGGGGGTGAATTGTGTGTGTGGAACCGTGGCAGTTTTTCGCCCAGTTCTAGTGCGGGGTGAAGGGTATTGCGAAATAGTAAAGTGCACAAGGATTTAACGAGGAAAAATCCCTTGGCTCAAAGGGATTAAAAAAACCTCGACCTCCCTCGGAGGAATTTTAACAACTTCACTAAAAAGCCTTTGAATGATTACAAGGGAAACTCTCCTAGTCTACCCTTGAGCCACCCCAACTCTATCCTCTCTAGGAAGAGTTACGCTTCTCTACCTTGCGGGTAGAGAGTCTCTCAGCTTTACAACAAAGCTCTCACAACACACGTTACCCAACCCGAGGAAGCTACACTTAGCTAATCCTCAATAACCCAATTACAATATAGGAAGAGAATAAGAACTCTGTCTAGAACTCCGGGAGCAGTTTCAGGTGCCTTGAACTTTGTATTTCTCTCGAGTATCTCTCTTGATATTTTCTCGGTCAAGCACACCCTGCTTCTTCTTCTTGATCTCGATTATATAGTCTACTAGGAATGGATCCGTTGAGACACTTCTTTCCTTGAATGGTTGAGGAACTTGCCTTGAAATTATTCAAAATGCTTTCCTTTTATTTAAGGATCTTCTAGCTCTTAATTATGATGGTCCTTGGTCAACCATATATATGGGAGCAGGAGGATACGTGCATACCATGAGCAAGTCAAAAAGGTATAGAGCATATTATGTGATCAACCATTTAGTAATAATTCCACAAAGATATATATCAATACATATCAAGGGAAGTTATTTATTCACTTCAACTATGCAAGCATGCAACGGATCATATTTCAAATAATATGCAGGAGAATATTTGTTAAATAGGTATGCACAATCAACTAGCTAATCAATTAAGGATTCTTTCCATAAAATAATAAGCTATAATAATAAATCATGCATGAAAATATATTTTTGCTTAAAATAATATTCTTGACAAAGTATAAGCCTCATATAAGGAAAGCACATATTAATTAAATCATACACCATGTAAATCAACCGTTCACACAGAAT